CAGAGCAATTACCTTTGCATAGAGGGGCAAAAAGTCACCGTATAATCGGCACCGGAGCAAGTGAACGTGCTAGTCGAGTCATCATAGGCGTAGCTGTAAGATCTTGGGCAAGCCGATTTGAACATCTGCGAATAAACCGACGGCCGGCAAGCGGCCGGCGAGTTGAAAACCCCACTGCAGCAATACTCGGGACTCCCGAAAGCCTCACACGCGCTCTTGCACGCCTGCCCGCCGCCGAACCGGAGCTCGGCCGGGCAGGCTCGGTTTAAATCGGTCAGGCAGCCGGTCGAGGCGCACGTGCCGGAGGAGCCGCCGGAGGGCTCGATTATCATCGGCAAGTTGTAACCGTCCACGAGGCTCACGTCGTAAAAATCGAGCCCGCCGTTGGTTCCGAGCGTGAACTCTGCCAGGGTGGCGGGCGGGGCGGCGCCGAACCCGTTGCATTCGGGTTGACCCGTCCCGCAGTCGCCGGTAAGGCAGGAGATCTGGCCGGAGCCGGAGAGTGTGCAGGCGGTCCGGGCCCAGAACCGGCCGGACCAGCCGGCCGGGGCGGAGAAGGAACGGGTGGAGTCGGGAGGGAGCTCGAATCCGGTGGTGACGAGTGTGGGGCTGCCGGCGTTCGCGAGTATGCCGGGATATACAGTGGACTCGCATTTGTTTACGAATGTGAATGTGGCTCCGAATGCAGCTGTTTAGCAAAGGGAAAAAGGGATTGGTTGAGAAAATCGAAGACGAAATTGCAAAAAATAAGAATAAAATTGCGAAAATCCGAGTTTAAAGATCAAAACTTCAAGTACAAATTAGTGGAGGAAGATGAAAGAAATATTATTAAAGAAGGAAAAAGGCAAAAAGCCTCGTCAAAAATTATACATTTGTGATAAAACCCATGTCAAAAAAATTGAATCTTTGAAGGAAAAGTGGCAAGCCAAGAAAAATAAGAAACATCAATGTAGCTAGAAATTGAGTTAACCCATAACATAAGGGAAGAAATTTATGGAAAACACAAAAATGTTGAAGATTACACATTTATGATAAACCCATGTCTAAAAGCTGAAGTTTTGAAGAAAAAGTGGTGACCCAAGAAGGAAAAACACATCAATGTGGCTAGAAATTGAGCTCTTAGTGTAGGCCTTAACTCAAAACAAGAGGGAAGAAATTTAAAGAACAAACAAAAATACAGAAGATCAAGCATTTATGAAACCCATGTCTGAAAAAAATGAATCTTTACAAGAAAAGTTGTAAAAACACCCACAAACAACACAAATGAAGCTAAATAAAAGTTTTTAGAGCAACTTCTACCTCTGGAAATCAGGAGAAAGGAAGCAAAAAGGCTGAAAATTAAGAGGGAGTCCATTAAATTGCTGAGGTAAGCTGCTGTCCTTCACTTTCCTATTGTTTTCTTTACTTACTCTAATTAATCCAAATAGAAATGCAGTTGGGAAAAAGGAAACGATTGGAGTGAATTATTTGTTGTTATGCAAAAGAAAATGAAGCAAAAACAAAAGAGAAAAAAAACAGAGACAATGGCACCTTTTTTTTCTTAATATTCTTAAAAGTGGCCGTGTTTTAAGATGATGGGCAGGCAGGGATTGTAGACTGTGTAGTGGACTGGTGGTGAAGACAAAGGTTAACCTAGGGCGAAAAAGTAATGTATTTTATTACGAAAGAATCTTATTATTAGGGCCAGTGTTTGTACTGATAAGTGATAACATAAACAAGAATGAATAACTTGAGGAGAAGAAAACTGGAAAATAAGGAGTAATTAACTAATTATGGAGCTAGAATAGAGCTGCTAACGAATCGAGCTGTTCACGAGCCACTCGTGAGCGCTCGAGTCAAAGCTCGAGTTTGACTAAACTTGAGTCGAGCTCGATCGGCTTGACTATGTTATCGAGTCGACCTTGAGCCCATATTTTCAAAGGTCGAGCCACTCAAACATATGTGGTAAAATACATAAATACTTTTTATATATATGTAATTTACTAAATTGTCATAAGTACATAATTTATAGTTGTTAAAATTCAAGCCGAACTCGAGTCGATCTCGAGCATCGAACCAATCTTGAACATCGAGTCGATCTCGAGCATATCCATTTGTTTTACCCGTCGAGCTCGAGCGTCATTTTCATGGCTTGTCGAGCTCGAGCTCAAGCAATACAAAAAAAATATATCTACTCTCGACAAAGTTCATGCTCGACTCGGATCGACTCGTTTGCAGTCCTAAGCTGGAAGGAGCAATTAAGGTGGCAGTTTTGTAATATTTCCATTGTCATGTAGAATATGACAATTTTATTTGCTCCTAAAACATTTCACAAGTTGTGTAGAAGGTTTTATTTTTATATGATTTATGGATTTTATTTGCTCTTAATACATTTCACAAGTCTCATTATTATTTATTATAGGATTTTACCATCCATTCAACTATTTTACATGTTTTACTATACGTTTTGATAACTCTTATAAAAATACAATATTAATAATAAAATTATACATAAATCACTATAAACAAGTCATAAACTAAATAATAATGCATTTTATAATCGATAAGTATAATAAATTACAAATTAATCATTTACAAATCGTAAAATCTAGTATATCGTCCCTATATGTAATTCTTGAATGTAGTGAGCATAAGTGGCAGGCTCGTGTATTTCGTAAACTTATTTGACATAAATTGGTGTTTCGATATTCGACACATGTTCATGTTTGGTTTTGACTATTAGGCTTGGAAATTACCATAACTTTAGCTTTGTTTTTTTTTTTCTTAAGTCACCATATTCTACTCTTACATTTTTTGTTTAATTCATATATTAATTATTATAAGTATGTATTCTTTTTATTTTATTTGTATTTTATTATCTATATATGATCTACCAAAATAATCATATTTTATGATCTTCGATTTGACATCCATATGACATATATAAAATAAAAAACAATTTCATCTATATTTATAAATAAAATCAATTTTATTATCAACTCAATTTAAAAAACATATTATAACAATATAAATTATTTTACAAAAATAATAACAATATAATTCATTTATACACCATAAAATTATCATTTTTTTGTTTTTTTCCACAAATTTTGGATAAAATTACATAAAATAAAGTTTAAGAATTTTTTTATAAAATATTATTTCTCAATATGGATTATATAAAAAATTGAATGTTATTATGTTATGTAAAGTAGAAAATACAGAAAAAATATACTAATTAAAAATAATAAAATAATTTTGTATTTCATAAAGTTAGAAAATAATACATTTCTACGTAAATTCTAAATTATTAATTATATGAATTTAATTACTTAAAAATTTGATAAACATGAAACACTGACTCTATAAATATAAATATAATCATAATATAATAAATTTATTTTATTTTTAAAAAACCGAATCAAGTATATGAAGTTGTAAATAATATCAGTTTTATATATTTATAAGTTTAAAAATATAATTAAAATATCTTTTTGCGGAAAATTTAGTGTAAAAATACGGCACTATTTAAATTAATTATCACTTTATTAGTTATTTATTATTGTTGCATATTCATCATACATAATTTCACAATAAAAATGTAAATTGTTGATACCCAATTTGATCACAAATAATAGAAGAGTAACAAGTGGCAAAGCAAACGGGGGCTCAAAAGGGCTCAAAATGCTCAAAAAAGAATTTATAAACTGCTGATTTTTTAAGTCAAGAAAAAGTACAAACAAAGAATATACTGGACCGAACAGGTTCTCAAAGGATTAACAGAGCCCAAAGACTGAACATAGACATGGCCACGGGTCAACCGGCCCGGACCCGGCACGGTCAAACCCGTTGACCACGGGTCTGGGCCCGGCTCGAATTTTTAACTGGGCCGGTTCAGGGTCGTCTTTTTTTCGACACCGACCCGGCGGGCCGGGCCGGGTCCGGGCTGGGTCCGGTTCGGCACGGGAAAAATCAATTGTTTTTGAATTTTTCTATTTTTTTTCTTTTTTTTTTAATTTTTCCGGGTCAGACCCGGGTCGGGCCCGGCCCGGCCCGGCCCGCCGGGTCATGGACCCGGCACGGGTTTAGGGCGTGCCGGTTCAGGGTCGACAAAACCCAACCGCGGGCTGGGCCGGGCCCTGACCCGGCCCGCCATTTGGCCATGTCTAACTGAACAGGCCCTCAGATGATGAACAAGCCCAGTAACTTGTACTATACATAATGAATTGTACTAAAAGTACATAATGTATTACATTATAAACTACATTATAAATGAGCCTCAATGATGGAGAAAAGGAAAAAAGGACATTCATTTTCTAAAAAAATGAGAACATTTTAATTCTATGAGAGACATTACTCAATGATCTATTAATTCATGTTTTTGTATAGTTTAATTCATATATTTATTCTTGTGAACTGAGTATTCCGTGTAAATACAATTCATTTTTTGTTGTTACATTTTCATACAATAACATAAGTTATTGTACTTTTTAATTTACAAATATTAATATATTTAAGTACACATGTAATACATGGATATTGTACTAGTTTACAATGAAAGAATTTTTTTTTGTTCGTAAATAAAAGAGGAATAATTATTAGTGAAATCTGTAATTTGTTATTATAATTTCCATTGACGATGCAAGGATACGGAATCTATTATTGGGCTCAATGCAGAAATTTATGGCCCAATGGACCAAATGAAGTGTCTTTTGGATGTTTCTTTCCGCACTTAATTTCCCTCTTTTTTTTTTTCTTTTTTTTAAAAAAAGGCATGATTGGTATACGGGAATAGAATTAAGAGGGAATGGAATCAGCTATGGAAAGGAATGAAAACTGGAATGGAATGTCATAATCATTCTCATACCTTAATTGGTATTGGCAAGGATTGAAACATTTATTCCTGACTTGATATCATTCCCATGATTGGTAATTAAAAACCAGTTGTTGGAATGTAAAAATTCATCGGAAAAAAATTCTTTATCTGTGTCTACAAATTAGTTTCAAGATCCACTTATTAATATTAAAATTTTTCAAGCATTAACTATAACAATTATTTATTTTAATAAAGAGTATTAATTATCTTTTTAATGATATTATGACCAATGCAATTTGTTCACTTGTATGAGACATCAGACAACAAGCATACACCAAACTCTATATAAAAATTCTGCTTTTAAGCTGAAGGCTCCTGTGCATATTGACAGCTGCTAATCTAACAACAAAACATAACAAACACAAAAACACTTTGCAAACACTCCGCACCTTTGTTTATTTTTTTTTCGTTATGCATTACTAACAAAATGAATATTAAAACAATCAAACTTATAAAATAATCTCAACTAAAATAAAAACAAATGTACGACTGTATCTTTCAATAAAAACTTGAACTTGATAAAATAAGTCGTGACGATATTATAAATTTGAAGATAAAAAAAAATAGACGATTTAAACTTGGCCACTTATGATGGCCATAACCAACTGCTCTCTTCCTTTTTCAGTCATGCTAAAAAATACGTCGGTTAATTGGGCGATTGAGCGATACAACACACAACTTTAATAACATCCACCACAGCTAGATTGGGAATCTTTCTTATCTCTGAATCAATCCTTTCTCTCTTTTTTGAAATTTCAGCATCAACTCCAATAGCTTTACCAAAAATTTCACTAGCTTTAGCAATTTCACTTCCAATAATCGAAGCTGCCTCTTTTATGTCTGTCATAGCCGTTAAGTTATCAACACTTCTTTTTCTTTTCTTCCTCTTGTCAACTGCTGCAGATCTTGGGGACTGTAATGGAGAAAATAAAGCATCTAAATCATCAAGACCAATTTCGGATGTTGCTTCGATGTCATTATCAGCATTAAGATTGACATCTTCCCTTTGTATATCTTCCATCATATCATTAGGACCTACGTCATTATCAGCATTAAGATTGACATCTTCCCTTTGTATATCTTCCATCATATCATTAGGACCTTCGGCATTTCCTCCAGTAGCACGATCTTTTCCAAAAATAATGACCAAGTCATCATATAAGGGGAAAGCCTTATTTTGCCAGATTGCATGGGTAGGATGACTCTCTGTCACAAGAAAAAATAATAACTAATTGAGAAAATTAACATGATATGTAATTAATCACATTTATTGGAATTCCTGTTTGTCAAAAGATGTTGTGGGCTAACAGATATTTTCTTGTAGAGCATGTGGTGCACCTAAGCACCTTCTATAACTGATGAGTATTTACGAGACTAGTGGATCAATGGAGTTGCTGCCCTATAAACAAAAGTTTCTTACCTGGTCGATTGGTCACAGGATGAAAACATTTTAATTACTAGTTTGTTGCCATTTTATGCCAAAGATATTATTTGTACATACTTTTATTGGTCATATTTTATCTTTACTTTTAATGACGTGTTTTACTTAAATAAGTATTTTACCAATTTGTCTACAAAAAAACCATCATGGCCACAATTCATACAAGATGATATTCACCTCAGTAATAAACCATAATTTTTTGTCAACTAACAGAATGCTCAATTAAATAAGTTATCAATCATTAACTAATCCAATAAGCTAAGTTAGTTATTTATTTTAAATCTTTGATTTGATGATGGTAGGCAAACTAACTGAAAAAAAAAGCAGAGACTAGCGAGGCAATTAGTTTGACACTGAATATGCAAAATTGTTCATTAACTAAATGGCCAAATCTTTAAACTAAAATAAGGGCTTGGAGTTATGTAAATACCTCAATGTAGGGGTCCCATACGGACTTTTCGGCTACGATGCATTTTCTTATCGGATCCATACCAAATCCACTTGTATTTGGACCATTTAACATATCATACACAATATTGAAGTCTCTCTTCAATGTCTTAATTCTTGACTCAATATGTGGTTTAGCCTTAAATCCAGAGCTAGGCAATGAGACTCGCAACTTGTCTTCGACATAGTTCCATGGTCTTATTTATAACTGCAGATGGTCTTATTTATGAATCTACCAAATTTGGAAGAATTTTCATTATTAAGTGGGGCCCACCTCACACGACCTGTTGTTAGACCAGTCAACGCACTTTACAATAATACAGGGATCGATTTTTTTTTTTTTTAGACAAATTTTTAAGGAAAAAGCCATCGTTTGTTTAACCATTCATATAAACATGTTAATGCCTTTTGACATAATTTTGGACCCATTAGGCAAAATATGCTATTCTTTTACTGTCATTGGTGAGCACAATAGCTCCATTACAGATGTGTTATTCCGTATGAACAATCAAGCGGTTTGATTAAAAAAAAAATAAAAAAAAATTATAATAATATTTTGAATAATAAAGCAAGAGTCTAGCACTATAAAAAGATATGAAAGTGATATGAAATGGTGATATATTTCAACAGAATTCAAACATACCACTGTTATGATTTTCATTAGGAAAGTACGATGAAAATTCCAACAAAAAACAATATAACAGAAAAATCACATATTCTAATATATTTAGAATTTTTTACAACAATAAATTGTTGAAAAAATTATTGTTGGAATTAATTATCAAATTTCAGCTAGAATCCAATGGAAAATTAGTTTTAAGGAAATTTTTATGTGACTTAAAAATGTAGATACAAATATCAATAAAAGTATGAGATATAATAATTTAAGCATGCAATATGCACTTTTTTTTTCATAAAGTATAAGACAGATCAACCGCTTATATTAACGTTAGTTCTCTTCACATAAGAATTTATGTTATCTATTTTTTCTTTTAATTCACTGATCCTTTACTAGTTAATTTGCTATATTTTATATTTCTTCATACAAATTTGCTCGTGATATAACATAAATCGAGGTCCATACACTTTTTCTAGACTTGAAGGAAGTGCAGGACAAATGTATAGAAAGGTCGATCGTACATGTGAGAGTACTGCCTTCATCAGATTTTTACCATTAAATCACACAGACTTACAAATACACAAAACGCGGATATTTGTTAATCCAATAGTGAAAAATCTAGAGAGAACCTCACCGATAGCCACAAATTTAACCACATGTACATATATGTGTAATTAGGGTTGTAAATTACTAGAGTCGAGCTTGAGCTCATGGTGCTCGAGCTCAAGCTCAGGCACTTATCTTAGCTTGATTATCAATATTAACGAGGTCTCTATCTTTAATGAGTCGATTTATAGAACGAGTCTTAACGAGTCGAGTTGAGTCAGCTCATTAACTAAACAAGTTTCCAATGTTTTCAAACTCAACTCATTTATGAAATGAGCCGAGCCGAGCCGAACTCACGAATAACTCGTTTTTTTTAACAACTCTATATATGTAACATAACACCTGTTAGTTGTGGCCATTCACTTAATCCTGATATATATGACATCCACATGCTTTAACAAGTTTTGTCAAACCCACATCTTATAGTTACCAAATATTCTGAAAAATAGACCACAAAAAAATAAAAAGGTAATGCTATTATAATGTTTTAGAATAACAAATTGACATGCTTTTGAAAAAACTGGCGCATGTGGGAAATGATGGCTTGTCCGTTAGACGCCCGCACATGCGCCCACAAAAAAAAAAACATCAGCCAATAAAATCCTTATAATGGTCCTATCTAATTACTATACTTATCTTCTAATTATAAAATTAGCGGCCGTCATTTTGGACAAACTATAGTGTTTTGGGGGATTTTATGCTCCTTAAATCTTCTCAATTGCCGGGTTCGAATTTGATTAATCATATAATTTTATTAACCCATTTTTTTACTTTATTATAGTCTGTATATTGTACACTTCAACTCCAATGATAAATGTTGTAAACTCGAAGCAACAATGAGAGGAAGAAAAAGGGAAAAAGGAAAAGTGCCTTCTTATTGTATAGTAACTGAGTAAATCTAATCCTTCAACTTTGAAATATTATACGTATTGCATAGCAATGTTTCTTATACATATTTTTTTATAAATCTATGTGTAAGTATAATTTTTTATATAGATTTGTACATAATATCATAAATCTATATACTTGGAATATTTTACTTAAATAAGACCTTTTCATGACAGGGTTAGTGGGGAAATCCGAGTGTGGTGAGGATTGCCTTTGATCAATGACTTTTTCACGGTTGGCCCCACGACCCGTTGTCTAAGTTGTGGGTCGGGACAATAGATTAATTGTAATTAACTAAAATATTAAAGATTGCAGATTAATCCCTCCCGTGTTTTGTTTATGACTGTAAATGAGTCGAGTCGGATTCTGCTTGTTAATTAAACGAGCACATAAAAGAGCTCGGACACGACTCGATTTTTCATTTAAATGAACTGATCTTGAACCGAGCCAAGCTTAGAATTAAGAAAATTATGTAACTACCGTATTCTCGAGCCTAGCGAGCTGAATCGAGTCTACAAGCTTCTTATTACGTTTAATACTTTAGTTTTGCTCAAATTGTGGAGTAATTGACATCTAATTATTTTTCAGGAATTGATCGAGGGTGGTTATGAATTCATAACCCGTTTGGACTCAATGGGCCCATATGGTGGCCTGGTGACTTAATTGGGCCTGATCGGCCCATTCGAGTGTGTTTAGAACCTCGCCCCCATGGTTGCCATTTTATTTAATTCAATAATTTCATAATAGAATCACTTCTGCTTTTACTTTCCAACATATAATGTTTGTATGAGGAGGTCTAATCGTTAGGCGGGTCAATCTATTATTCTATCATTTTTGTTATCAATATTATCGTGTAACGTGTGACGCATCCGTATAAATATATGCACATATATATCGAAAAAAAATATCATTATTGTCAGGGCCGGCTCTTTGGAGAGGCAGCCTAGGGCCTCCCCATATATTTGAGGACCCATTTTTTTTTCAATATTATGTATTTGTGATGAGTTTGGCCTATTTGCACATATGAAGCAACCCGTGGCTAAATATAGACTTGACCCATATACAAATGAATGGGCTAATTAATGAATGGCCTAATGGCAAAATATGTACTTTGTGTGGAAATTTGAAGCCCTAAATATTTTCTTCTCCTTGTTGTTCTAATGATTGTTTGAATGCAAATTATTAAAGATCTTTGTAACCCATAGGTAATTTATCAATTCCAAGGTCTAGAAAAACAAGAAAATTTATTTTTTTCAATTATTTATTTATTTAAAGTCTTCTTTGATTAAGTTTTTCTTCTATGATTCTATCTGTAAATAGTCTAGTTACCACGCAAGTTCAAATCGAAAAATTCAAAAAGAATAAACTTGTCTAAGGTCTCCAAATTTCTAGAGACGACCCTGATCATTGTCTATCAGACTAACAGCAGCATTCTTTACTATTTTTAATATCAAATCCATCTTTCTTTCTCCAATTCATGCTCAAGCAAAAGCAACATATACTCAATAAAGCATATCTCAATTTGTAATAATCTCTATGTTTCCATGCAAAGTACAAGAGTAGCTAGCATTTAACAAATGCATACATATAAACTTTTAACGACTTAATCGAAATCAACTGCAAGAAGTGAACGTGCAAGTCGCATTTGTGCCAGTGCCCGAATTCGCTTTCATGAAGCTCAAAGCCGTGTGAAGGACTTGACGGGTCGACCCGAGTAAGGCCCAATTAACCCGCTGGATGACGTCAAGAGAGTTGAAAGGGAATTGTAGGCTGTTGTATGAGTTGAGAAGAGCAGTTGTGCCCTCTCTCAAAAGGGTCCTGTAAGGGTCCCCTCGACCACTCATGGCTTGGGCCAGGGTCATGTCCGGCCCATACCGACGGCCCGCTATCAGCCCAAAAACTAGCGAAACTCTCGTGTCTGGTGTCACCACTTTCCAGTAGCATCTGTACTCGGGCATCATCCATTTCCTAAAGTTGATCAAGTGAACAAGGTTTGAATTTTTTAATGAATGTTTAATATAAATCCTTTGTTTACATTAAAAAAAAAAATGTCATATTCAAACTGAAAATCATACGGTACTATATTCCAATGGAAATTTCACGAAAAATTCATTCCAATGAGTTTTCTATTGAAATTTTAGATGAAATTTGATTATTTCAACGACTATTTTTCCAACAACCGTAGAAATTTTTGTTCAATATTTTTATTTCAACCGTTGGAAAATTTACAGTTGAAATCGTCAAAATCTAACGGAAATTCCAATAAAAAACTCATTCAAACGAAATATTTTTGTTGATTGATCGATTGATTTCATTGGAATCCACTGAAAAATTCCAACCAACATAATAATATTGGAATATTCACTGGTATTGCCGTTGGAATTCTAAGAGTATATTTTCGTGGGAAATTCTGTCATTTTTTATTGTAGTGTTTAGTTGTGCTATTCCTTAATGTACTTGATCCATTCGAGATTTTCATTTTTCCTTCTGTAAAGTGTAAAGACTTATTGAGATGCATCTCCCAAAATTGTACTGTTTGAAAAAAAAAATGTAAATTCATAGTACCAAATGTCATACTTTTATTTACGTTGTTTGTTAAAGTTAAAGTATGATATTTTCTAATAAAAGTATGCATATGTATATATACGATTATATTTATACGATTCTTATTTAATGTACTAAAAATCACACGACAACGAAACATCGAAACTTACTGGTGAGGACAAGCCGAAGCTTCCAAGAAAGGCGCCGGAGGCAACTTAGGCACCGGCGGTGAAGGTGGCGGCAGCAGAGTCACTGGCGGCGGGATGGCAGGAGCAACTGGGCCTGGGCCTGGGCCAGGCCCAGATGACTTTGGGCAGAAGGGCATGGGCTCTGCAGGCTGGGCCAGCAATGGATCCACTGTATACATCTCCATATTAAACATGTTGAACATGAGTCTCAAGTTCTTAACGGGCCCCGCGGCCGGCCCGCAACCATTTGGGCCCTGACTGCTGCCCGAGACCTGCAAATAGCAGCCACTCAAATCGGGAGTGCCATCGAACCTCATGGCGTAGTTGCCTAACCAGTTAGTCGTCTCCTCTCTCGACATTGTTAGCTGCCCGTCACTGCCGGGGCAGGCCATTGCCACTTTAATTCCTGCAAACACAGATTTTTCTTTCTTAGTAGTCTCTATACATTAGTTCTATTTATTAAGATCTGAATTTTTATAATATCCTCACATTAATATTCCTCTGCAAATTTTGGTGTAAGGCAAAATTGCATTTTTAGTCCTGCGGGTTTAATAGACATAGCAATTTTAGTCCCAAGATTCAAACATTTTGCCTTTTTGTTTTTGTCATGTGATTTAATATTTTGCTTCAATTTTAGTCCTTTGAGGACTGAAATTGTAACAAATTCCCAAATTCTCATATTTTCGATTAGCAATTTAAGTCTTATAATTTAAAATTTCATCGCGATTTTAGTCTCAAAAGACTGAAATTGTAGCAAATATTAAGCTACAGGACCAAAAGGAGAAACGTTGGAACTTTGAGACTAAAATTGCAATGACATTAAACCAACAAAACTAAAAATGTATTTTGTCTTTGGTGCAACAACAGACCTAAAGCTTAGTTCTAAGATTAGCTGGGATTATTATTACAAAAGGAACGGCTGTGTTTAAAACTATAATAAGGTTTCAAAGTTTATTTCATCAAAATTACTATTGTACATAACTGTCTTTTTTTTCCTTGATCAGATTAGGACATTGTAATGAAAGCTAACCCCATTAGCATACATGCATTCTTCAAGTCAAATGGAACATAAAAATGTAACATGGAAGATCAAATTTGAATCCTAAGTAAATGAACTCAAGAAATACAAATGCTAAGGAAAAAAAAAAAAAGTACCATTTAACGGATAATCGAAAAGGGACACCTGGCCATCCTTGCATTGGTCACAAAACACAGTCCCTGTAACCATAGCATACCCATAAGCTCCATCAATGACTGCTGCAAAAATAGCAAAAGCTGTGAAGAGAAAAAGCCTCTTTGAACAACCCATCATGAGTTTCTGAACTGAAAAAGCCAGTGAGCAGAAGAAAAAGGCTTGGCTAGTGGCAAGAGAATATATATATATAGATATAAGTTGTGAAGAGCTGTAAAGAGCTGTTTGTGGTGTGAATAAATGTGAATAACAACAATTTTTCATAAGGGGAGAAAAGAGTTTGAAACAAAGAGGAGTTTTGTGGTAATAACTTTAGTCCTGTTTTACAACTCTCAACTGTCTGCATTTATTTTCCCAACTAAAAGGAGCTGTCTTTCTCAAATCAGGAAAAGAAAGTACGGATTGGCATTAAATTTTCACATTTGTGACTAATAAATGGCCCCCAAAAAAGATGGTAACATGTTAGTAACATAAGGGAATGTAATTTGTGTAATGTGTGTCATTTGGAATGACATGGTCCATGCATTGTAACTTGTAAGAGTTTTAATATGCACCGTTTGAACCCGGTTTTCTTTATTTCATTTCTGAAGGCAAATAGGTAAAAGAATTCAAATCGACTAGCTAACCTTCCACAACATGTTTAGTAAGTATCGAATGTAGAAGTGAAAATGCAGACATGAAAATGACTTATGTAGTTTCCTGGTTTGTAAGAAAAGCAGAGAAAGAAAACGGTCATGTGAAGTGCAAGCTCATAGAGAGTAGTTCTGCATTGAAAATGTTGTGATTAAAAAGAAAAAAAAAAAGTTCTCTACAAACTGAATGTACACTTATACATCGTTTTATTCCTCTTCGACATAAATCAACAGTTGAGGTTGTTTGTTCAAGTATGTCGATTTTCACGAAACTTGTTTGATTTACAGAGCTTATTCACAAATGTTGTTAGTTTAGCATATGCAGTTTGTTTGATTTGCAAAGTCTATTCACACATATTATTGTTATGCAGAGTCTTAACGGTTCGGTGGGTTAACCAGTCATACTTATCTTTGTTAATGTTGTATGTTAGGTATGACACTTCAATCAAAATGAATAAACATATGTTAGAAAGAGTGCAACTATATGATAAATAAACCAACTAAAGGCAGTTTAACTAAAATGTATCTTAAAGGGTTGTGGCTACAGGTGAAATATTTTTTACAACTTGATGAAAATTTGATTAGTTGTTTTGATTGGTTGATCTTTTCAATTATGTATCATTTTTTGTGATAGAAAAATGTGTTGTGACTTAATTCTCAGAATGACATAACTTGTAAAGTCAACCGCCATTAATGTTTTCAGATTTTCCTTGCAAAAACCTCTCATAAAGCTACCACCAAACTACTATCAATTATCAAAGTCCAACCAACAACACATCAAACTGCATTTGTAATAAGTCAGTTTTCTTGTATAATTTACAAATAAACTTCTGGAAAGCCAAAAGGTAACGAAACATAGGTAAAAATAACAGAAGAATAATCCTTTATGTTCAAGCTCAAGTCTGCATAACATCAGTTCCAGATACCAAACCAACATATAACAAAATCAAGACTCCAAAAATTACACCAAACCATAAATAGCCACCACAATGTCTACCAAAATTTCTCTATATTGTGCACTGCAATGACTTATTGCTTCTGTATGAAAAAAAATAAACCCAAACAAAAAAGATTAAAAAAAAAAGAAATGAAAAGATATCCAATATCTTATCAGCCAACGTCTGGTTCAACCTCTTTGCCTTAAAAAGCTCACACCATCTTCATTACACTTGGGTGGTTTTCTCCTCAACCTCTTCAGCATGTCCATTTTCAGTGTTAATGGAAGAACCGTTCACAGTGTTCACAGCCGATCCATTTTCAGATTCGCCAGCACTACAAGAGAAAAGGTAAACAACTAAATCCAATAACAGCAAATAGTAGCTTCCGAAAATAATACCTACACACAAATATATGACCAAGAGCAAATCAAAGAGTCACTTTCAAAAACTGTCAGCATGTTTCATGAAGTATTTCACAAAAATGTATGATGATTTAGTTACTACTACAATGAGCTCTTTCATAACAAAAAGCAACATGAACATACTACATAACTAACATAACAGCTATAGCAAACACTCATAACCAAAAACAGTTTACAAGTCCAAGTAAATCGATGCAAAACAAATTCACACATGGACTACAGACTTGCATCATAACCTCACATGCTGGCCACAAAAGGCTTCTATAATATGAACAACTAACAAACATATATAACTATCCAAAAATGTACTAACAAGACAGCATCGTCCCTACAGTCAGCTAAGAGTTACAAATCCAGATTAATAACATACAAATGAACAATCAAAAGATGATAAACTCGAAATTGATACACTCAACTACAATCAAACACAGATTTACTATAGTGAATAAAAAAATCAAAACTCATGATAGGTCAAAAAGTGGGTATCAAGTATCAACTTCAGACACACAAAACCAATCAAAATAGATAAACTAAACCCCAATCAAAACAAATCACACTTTCTCAAAGCCAACTCAATCAACAGAGGAAAATACAAAGAATCACAACAATCCAGATTATACACAAGAATCCTCCATTCAAATTCAAAACCTAAATCACAAACCTCTGTGGACCAGAACCATCAGATTCAGGCTTCCTCCACGCATTCTTCTCCTCCACATGCGGCCTTTCCCTCCCATTCCCGCTCCAAAAGCTCCTCTTTGGGCCCACAGGAGAAGCCTCCTTCACCTTCATGGACTCGAGCTTCTCCTCAATCTCCTTCCAATCCTGGCCCTTCTCCTTCAACACCTCCTCCCTGGGCCGGGCCGCCCCAAACGGGTTGCTGGACTTGGGCTTAGCGGAGCCCAAAACCTCATCTTTCTGCCCCTCACCTACCGGCAAAGTCCTCGGCTGCAAATTCAATTTGGGCCGGCCACCAACAATACCCACACTCGATTCATCTCTTTTCCTCCCCCAAGTCTCAGAGTCCGCATCAGAACCCCCTCTTCTATTGCTCAAGCTATCAAAAGAACCTCCGACTCTCGGTCTCTCCTCTTCCTTCCTTTTCAGCCAATTGTCCGAATCCGAGCCGCTGTTGCCCGATTCCAAACCAAACCCAACTCTTTTCTCATGCCTTCTGGGCTCCGACGGAACGAAGCTCTTCTTCGAAGCCCAATTGTCGACCTCGTCCGCACGTGACTGTGAATCCGTGAAGAAACCCCCTCTCTCTCCCCTCTCCCTTCTTTCGCCAAATCCGGCCGTCGACCTCTTCCCGGTCGCCCAATTGTCGGTCTCATCCGCCCTAGACGGCGTAAATTCGCGGCTGGGCTCGCGGTTAAAGCCTCCCCCACGGCGGGGCTGCTCGTCCCTGATCCCGGCGCCGTAGTTCCTAAACCCGCCGCCGAGCTTCCCCCGATCGAGCTCCTCGGCCGTCCGCTGGCGGGGGCCGGTGGGGAGGGCCAGGAGCTCGTCCTGCGTGAGGCCCTTACCCTGGGCGGCCTCCGGCTTGAAGAATTCCTGGAGGGGCAAGGCCTGCTGCTTCTTCTTCTTCTTCGTCTTGGCGGCGCTGAGCGACGGAAAATCTCCGCCGGCCGCCGCTCCGTCCTCCTGGTGTTGCTTGAGGAGCTCCGACTCGTTCTCTTCGGCGTCGAGGGCCCACGCGCCTGGCTTCGCCCACGCGCTAACTGCTGCCGCCATGTTTGCTTTTCGATCTTTTGCTGCTCTCTGTAGGTTTTTTGGGAGGATTTTTTGCGTTAGTTTCAAGCGTTTTAGGGCTAATATCTATTTTGTTCGAATCCGAATAAGATATGGAGAGTGTAATAGACGGCTGAGATTGGTTTAGAAGATAAGGGGTAGGATTGTAATTATACGAGATATTAGATGAGGTGATCTGGCATATACATGGGTAGAACATCTACAATGCATTTGGATCTAGTCTTGTTTATGTGACATGTAAATAAACCTAAATCTTAAATGACATGGATAAAATTATGTATAAAATCCACTCCAATGCAAAGAGACTAAGTCTCTATAAAATCAACTCCAATGCAAAGAGACTAGGTCTCTATAAAATCAACTCCAATGCAAAGAGATTAGGTCTCTATGTGGGTCTAAAATAGACTTAAGGTTACACTGGGTCTTTTTTTCTGGCTGTCACATTAGCAGACCTAGTTTACTTTTATTTGCATTGGAGAATACTCCCTCCATTTTGAAATATAAGGCGTATAAAGATTTCTCATTTTTTTTGAAATATAAGGCGCGCTCAAAAATCAAGACAAATTTTTGCATTTTTTTCCAAATATACCCTCATTGTGTTGAAATTAAGGAAGTGTGGAATGGTTGTGATTAGAGTAAATAAGGTTAATTTAGTCAATTTATTCGTTAATTAATGTCTCTTTAATATTTGTGCAATAACCTTAAATGCCTTATATTTCAAAATGGAGGGAGTACAATTTTTTAGACTAGGTCTATTTTCTTATGTGGCATACCATTTTTTGTGATTGAACTCAAAGCATTGGACAGTAGGGAGGATGATTTACACTTGGCGGAGATTTTTGTATGAATTTAAGAAGAGACGCGCGTCACAAAAATACATGTCAAGATTTTTGCTTTACATTTTTACTTTTTATTTTTCAGAATTTTTAATAATATAAAGTGTTGTAATATAAAGTACAATATTCAGTTATAATATTTTTTAAAAAAAAAATAATATATTTATGGTTATGGTTATACAAACATAAGTGAATGGATAATATTTTTACAGATTAAGTTAACGTAATAATTGTTTTTTATTTAAAAAATAATATTGAAATTTTATAGAGACACAATTCAAATAATATATATTACTAATAAATGACTAAATGATATTAGATATATATTTAACTGCACCCACACACTACTGCAAAATTAGTCCAAAATAGTAATATTATATATGTTGGATGTTCATTACAACAACGACAGTCAATTGCGAATAATCGGACGGTTTGATCGTAGAGTTATGGTGACTACAAAGTAACGGTCTACAAATTAAAATCAAACATATAGAAATAGTAACCTCTCAGTTACCTAGGATTCAGGCTTTGCTCTTGTAGGGTTGCGGCCAAATGGAAGGTACACACACACGAGATCACAGGAGATCAAGAGAAGATTGGCTAACTAAGGAAAGAAGATCTCATGAGAGAGAAGAAGAGTCCTAATACCATATGGGTCTATTGGATAGACTTGGAAGGAAATTAAATCTTGGAGAAGACTCCACAAAAAGGAACTGTATATATACCTACCTTGAAGAACGAAGTAGGGTTGCTGAGAGCATCACTCACATACGCCACCTTCGAGCTTCAAGTGTTTCTCGTGCTTACATTTTTATTTCTTGATTCAGTTCTTTGTACTCGTGCATATCGAAGAACTGAGATTATTTTGATTGTGTTTTCTTCATTTCATTTGAGACATTGGTCATTGACACTTAGGGAGTAAGTGTTAGGAAATAAGTCCACGGGACGTGGCTGGAGAAGTGGTTGATAGGTTGGCTCATAGTCGTGGCTAGGCTGAGAGTTCTAGTTTTTGTAAGTCCAAACTATGTTCGAAAGTAATATCAATGAAAGAGCTCTGAAGGGAAGTGGGATGCTTCCCTGAAGAGTTTTCAAATCTTCGGTTTATTGTTTCCGCTATTTTTAGTTTTCACTCTTATTCGTACAACGTTGAGCGCACTCGCGATAAATTTATACGTTTCAAAATGCAGATCAAGTAGAGTTGTCACCCCTGTACGAATGTGGATCGGCAAAGCCTCGATAGCGGGGTTTATTGGGCTTATCTTTCTCACGATTGAGCCCAATTATCAGCATACATGATCTTCATTCGTCTTGCCTTAGTGAGCCGACCCATAGTAGATGGGTGTTGACAGGTGTTTCCGGTCAACGGTTAAAAAAGATAAATAGTGAAAAAGTAACGAGAAAAGACAAAGGAATACGGTTTAATTATGATTTTATTAAATGATCACGAGGTCGGCCTCTCGTACGAGGTCGACACTTGCGATATACTTACAAATTCTTACACAAATTCCTTACAAGTTTTAGAGAGAGAAAATGTAGAGAGAGTCAAGACAGTTGGGATTCAACAACCTCAAAATAAATGCTTGGGATCTCTATTTATAGGGCCCTTAAATGCGATACTGTTCGGGTACTGTTCAGGTGGTCTTGTCGTACAGTGACTCGGCAAGACAGGCCGGCGTTTTTCTGACGGATTGGGAGTGATTTGTGGATATTCCAATCATTATCTGCAGGGCATTTAATGCTGGTAAAGGCCGCATTAAATGCGCACGTGCTCCTGAATCGGGCTAGTCATCCTAGGTCCGCAGACTAGTCTGAGGCGTCCCATCGATAATCATTGATTGACAAGTGGACTGATTTTATTGTCCTCTGGACCGTTAGCTCTTATGAGAAGTCGACCTGATAAGATCCCGAACCAGACTGTAAACCAGCTCATCTTCCGACCTCCGTGGTCCTTTCTCCACTCGGCACTAGGCCGGACCGACCTCGCAATAGGGGAGTCGAGGTGCCGACCTCGGGACCGACTCTGACCGCCACTCCTGTTGACTTTGACATGGCACTCAGCTCGGCACCTCCGAACAAATTCGGTGACCGGCCTCATCAGTCCGGTCGGTCACCGCCCGATTCGCGGTCTCTCAGACCGTGATCTTCATAGGAGCCTGACTCAGATATCAACAATGGGTTTTTTTATGTATAACAATACACTAGTGCAATACCCGTGTATTACACGGGTGTTGAATTAGAAAACTTTTGTAAAAAATATTAAATTTTTTATTTTTTTAAAAACTAAAATAATTTAATTTTATATTAAACATTACTTTAGGTTTTAATTAAATTGTCAAATTATATTTTTTTTAATCATAATAATTAAACACCCGTACATTAAATGAAAATGTCAACCCGTGTTGAATTTTTTTACTTATATCATATACAAATATCGATATTATTTATTATTACATAAGTACAAAAATATATATCTTAAATAAATAGAAATATTATGGTGATATGTATATGCATAAGTGTAGAATATATTTATTTTATATTAAGCAAAATAGATTAATTTTTTTTACTTAATTAGATGCTTGATATATCAAGTGTCGTATCAGTCGTTCTTCACAGTTTTTTAACTTTATATGTAATTTAGAATTTATATAATAATTATTTATTTTTATTACATGGACAACATACCAATTAGATTTGAAATAAATATCATTTTTAAAAGAATACATACCAATTTTTATTACTTTATAATATAATTTATAGTTTTATTTGATATAATTTAATTTAGTTTGATAAATAAATTTAAATTTTATCTATAAGGATATATATTACTGTTTTGTATCAATTCATAGATAAAAGTATTTTATATCCTTATTAATAATATATTACTAATGGGCCTAATTCATAAATAAAAGTATTGGAATATATATTATTATATATTTTAGTATGACACATATTACTTGTGCGACTTATATGTGTTATATTATAATAAATTTTCTACCTTATAACATATAACTACATTAAACATAAATATATTAATTGATAAATAATTTTATTTTCTAATTAATTTTAATAAATAATTTTATTATTATTATAAAGATAAATATAATTTATTTATTTTGTATATACCATATGGATGTCAAATCGAAACTCATCAAAAGATGATTAATTTGATATATTATATATGTAAAACCGATAAAAAATACAAAAGTTATCAACTTTTAAAATATATTAGCAATTCAATGGTTATAATAGGATATGATATTAAAATACAATTAATACAAATATATTAATTTATATCCAAGTCTAACCCTAAAGTATGATTTTTTGTCAAATAAGATTCCAAAGCATGAGAAATTGCCACATAGGCTCAGCGCATTCTGAAATTATATATAGAGAGGATGTGTTACCTGTAAAGTTTATACTTGATTCTTATTTCTATTTTTAAAGAGAGGTCTTTGTTTAAACTTTTAAATAGTTTTTGCAAAAATTGTGTTATAATTTATATTTAAAATACACCAACCATTTGTACAATTTACATGTCTTGTAGTGTAAAAATTTTTCTAACACATCATATGACGACTTTATAGATAATTTTGTTTATTGATAAATAAGTATTATTTTTCAATTAATATTCATGCATAATTAATTTTATATATGCAATTAAATTGAAACTTGTCAATAGATGAATAACTTGATATATTGTATTATGAAAAACTTACAATAAATACAAAATTATGAACATTTAAATAGGTATTCATAATTTAAGATAGTCAAATAATTTATATTTTAAACATTTTAATAGATGCGGATAGAAGTTCAAATAGATTACATTAAGATAATCAAATAATTTGTATTTTAAACATTTTAATAGATGTGGATAGAAGTTCAAATAGATTACTCAGCACTATAAATTGACACATATAATTACAAAATACCAAAATTCATACCAAAAAATAGCATAAGCTCGGAAGACTCCACAGAGCTCCCACTATCACTATTTAATCAAAAACTCATCTGGGCTTTAGAAATTAGCCCAAACATTAACATGAGCTCATATATACAATCATATTTTACAATTTCAGTCAAAAATTCCATTGGGCTTTCTTCTTAAGGTCCAAGAGATTCAACCAACGCTACCACNAAAAAGGAAATCGCATTATTTCCCGTCGTCACCCACATTTCACCTTCTGCACTTCCAAACGCAGAACGACGATAATGTCAATCGCCGCCGGAGTCCAACTATGTCCCACAATCCGCACCTCAAACCTCCTGCTCGCGACAAAAACGCCTCATAATCACTTCCTACTCAAACCCCCCACCCTATCGAACCCCAAATTGCTCAAATTAACCGTCTTGTCCTCCGCCGGAACCCTAGAAGCACCGACCTCCGGCAAGGAGGATGGGCCTACGAAGAAGCGCATGGTGGTCGCTAAGCCGACGGAGCGGCCGAGGCTGGTCCTGAAGTTCGTCTGGATGGAGAAGAACGTCGGCATCGCCATAGATCAGGTGATTCCCGGCGGCCACGGCACGATTCCGGTAAGCCCGTACTATGTCTGGCCGAGAAAGGACGCCTGGGACGAGCTTAGGGCTGTGCTCGAGAGCAAGCCGTGGATATCGAGGAAGCAGGCGGTGGTGCTGCTTAATCAGGCCACCGACATTATTAATCTGTGGCAGGCGACGGCGGATATTTAAGCTTAATGGTTTCAATTTTATTATTTACATTTTTGGGACATTATTGTGTACTGTAATTTTGGACAGCTTTGTATTAGTGATGCTATTTTGTTGGTAGCTGTGGTTTATTGGCCTTCGATACGGTTTTCGATTTTTATACTTCGATTGGTGATTTTTATATTTTAGTTATTGGTTTTTACGATACATTTGTAAGAAAAATTGATTTTATATAGATTCTATATTTGATACTATTCTCGTAAGTGGAATACTAACAATAAAGTTTCATATAAAATCTTAGGTTGAATGTGAAATAAATTTGGGAAATTTTTGAGATCATGTAACTCAAAATTTGTTGGATTAGCAAACATTCCGTCAACGAATGTTTAGACAAGCGAAACAAGTTATAAACACGCATTAGACATGCTA